CTGAGGAAGTAGAGTCTCTGATGAGCTTTCTTGATCAGGCTGGTGGTGTTGTTGCTCCAGCTGAGGTTGTCATTCATGTGTACACCCAAGTACTTGTAGCTGGAGACCACTTCCACCGCAGATCCTCTTATGTTCAGGGGGGTGTAGATGTTTTTGTTCCTTCTGAAGTCCACAATCATCTCCTTTGTCTTCTTCACATTGATGTGAAGGTTATTCTCTTTGCACCAGCTCTCCAGGTGTTCCACCTCCTGCCTGTAGCTGTGTGTAGTGTCCTGGAGGGAGCATGCATGTTTACTCAACCAGTCTACATGAGTTGTGAGGACTCAAAGAAGGTGTTTACCAGGGTACGCTGTGGGGGTAGACGAACAAGACAAACAACCATTCTCTCCCTCTCCCCCCCACCCAGGGACAATTTAGTTACCACTCAGCATAACATGCATGTTTTGTCTGTGGGAGTAGACCTGAGTATGGGGAGAAAACCCACACATGCACGGAGAGAACATGCAAACTCTACCCAGAAAGGTCCACGGCCGGGATTTGAACCAGCAATTTTCTCGCTGAGAGGCAACAGCTCTGCCAACTGAGCCACCCCACTTTAAGTTCATTTTAAGTGAAACAAAACAAAAAAAACTTTTTTTTTTCCACATGTTGGAACAAAAATGCCTGCAGTAAAGTGTTGATGAGTTTTTGAAGCAGCCATCTTGACTGTTGCTCTGAGGCCGTCAGAGACAGAGCCTGACTTCTGATCAGTTCCAGAGCACATCAGCACGGACTGCAAGGCTGAGTCTTTCAGAGGCTGACAAGCAGCTTGAGAAGAAAACTGTGTAAATATTAACCAATACAAACTCCTTCCACTCCTCTCTCTAGTATATCTGTTGTCCATTAAATAAAACGCCTAAACATTTACAAGGATAGAAATAAGAAAATGAAGAACTTTATTTTTTCTGCACTGGGGAAGTTCTCACATTACATCAGCGGACCATAACAGGAAATAAAAACAAAAATGAAATTTATGGTAATCATCCAAAAAGTAAAAAGAGGAACCCAGTGGTATTTTACACATTGCCAAAATGTCCAATAATTCAACATGTTTGTTAAATAATAATTGCTGATGAGAAAGGCCTACATTGTGGGTGTCACAGCCCTCCACTGAAAGACCTGCTCAGAGTCCACACAGTGCCATGGAGGGGTTTGCTTACGTTGTCCTTCTTTCACCCACCACCTCAGAGGTGTACAGAGGGCGGCCCAGGACCGAGCCTTTCGTGTACAAGTTCTCCTTCAGATTTCGAGTAGGTGACATTTAAGGAAAAAGAGCAAGTTGGACGTTTTTCAAATCCAAATATGTTTGAAAATCTAACCAAGCACCCGTCTCTGCAGGTATTCATAACTGATCACATGATAACTGAGCTAAATGCTGTAAGTCAGGCCTCACGCACTATTACACGTGCATGGGCTCAGAATTATTCTGCTTTGACTCAGTAATGAGCAATGAGAAAATTGACCAGAAAATGAAGCAACTGTGCATTAACTTTCAAAAAATGGTGGCAGTAAGCCCGAGACTCATATCAATAAAAGGTTGTATTGACAAAGTAAACCAATATTTACTAACGAAGAGGAAAATAAATGCACTTTAAGCACATTCTAGCAAAAGTTTTGTGAAAGTTTTGGAATAGTATTGCGACCTCAGGTCTCTGCTGTAAATGAGTCCTCGAGGCTCAATGGGATTAACCTGTAGAAATAAAGGTTGAATGAAAAAAGTCTATGTGATGGCTGAATATTTTGTTGCAACTTCTACGTCCACAGATGTGTGAGTATAGTGACATTTGCTGTTACATACAGTAAGACTCGTTGAATCTGTGTCTGACAGGGAATCTAGACTCCAGTGTAAATTTATTTGCCTGTCCACAAGAGAGTTGAGGTGTTTTAAAAATGGGTTTTTGTATCTTTTTTAATTTTATATTTTTAATTCACTGTTGCAGAGCGAAGCGGGTAATTGAAAATACTGTCCGTCCGTCTGTGCATGTTGTGAGCGTGATAACTTGAAAGTGAGGTACCAACTTGTATTTTAGTTTATGGCTGCATCTAGGCATATAAAAAGGACCCCAACAGAAATGTGGTTGCCCACCCCCTGGCTCTGGCATTTCTCCTGGTGGTGGATAAAATTGGTCCGTATACTCACCAGGATCCGTCACGCAGTGCCACCACGGGCAATAAATATAACAACCTACCTGTATACCTTTAGACACTGTAACTCAGCTACTTAAATATGTGGCATCAAAAGCATTCCCTGTTCAGTTATTGTCCAGAAAAACTTGGAAAGTGACCTTGAAAACTCTAAACATTCACTGTCCAAATCCTTCAGCGAAGGGGGACATGGGCAAACTTCTTGTTTAAAAAGTGACTCATTCTAAACTGAACAACCTACATTTTATCACAACTTTGTCCACATTTTTGTATTGGTATAAACGGAAAGGACGGAGAGTAAAGCTCAAACTGATTGTAACTTTTTAACCAGTGGGTCCCTGAGGCTGAAGCTGGACGCTGTAAACAGAAATGTTATATAGACTTTGTTAAAATGCTTTAAAACAATGGTTCTCAAACTTTTTTTTTAACAAGTACTACCACAAAAGTTACCCAGTTCACAAGGTGCCAGCCATTTCCACATACACGTACATTAATAACAGTAGTACATAATAACTTAATGACAATTTATGTTGCAAGTAGTGTCTGTTTGAAGCCAAAATTGTACTTTTCTTGGATAACTCATCTTTTTTGGTGGTTTGTACGTTTTTGTGTTTCATCCAACTTCAGCCTATAATGTTTAATGACATTATTTAATTTTTAAAATAGATACCACTGAAGGGGCACTTTACCACAGTTTGAGAATCGTGATTTTAAAACATGATGAAGTTTGATGTGTGCAAAAGATCATCTAAGCACAACTACAGCCACATGTGTTTGTCTCTCTGCAGGTGGCTACACTGTTGATTACACAACAGGGACGATGATGACCTTTGCCACTGTTTTTGCTGTGATGTTCAATGGTTGCACTGGCATCATGGCCGGCTCCAACATGTCCGGTAAGTGAGAGAAACTTTCTGACTAATGTGAGGGGTCTTATAGTCACTGGAAGAAGAGCAAAAATACAGAAAGTTTCTGTAGAAACTTTGATGGGGACTGCCACTTTGCAGCCATTTTAAAATTTTGGTTTGACAGTACAGTACTATGTGTTTGAGTTCGGGCTCAGCTATGTCTATACCAAATTTCATTTCAATATGGCAACAAATCAATGAGTTATAGT